ACTCACTGGTGTGTGTAGTTCGCTGGATGGCTTTCCTTCGCAAAGGTCACAGGTAGGGAGATTGACGCGGCATTGGTTGCCTGTAGATTCCGTGAGCACAGACAGACAGGCAGGAGAGAGAGAGGTGTGCACTACTTCACGGGCAAGTCTGTCTGCCCGTCTGCCCTCTCGTCTGTCTGCCTGGTGTGTGTGAGGCAGCTTGCTGTGCTGAACCGCACACAACGTGTCGTCTTTCTGTGGTCGACGGAGGGCGAATTGACGGATGGATGGATGGTAGTCGGTGGCCAGTTTCCCTTCGCAAAGGTCACAGGCAGACTGACTGACTGACTGACAGACAGGTATGCAGCAAGGAGTGTGCGGCATTTTATGTGTGTTGCCTGTCTGCTTTGGCGAGTGCATTTGTTCTGGTTGCTGCTTCACGTGGGCACAGGCAGGCAGGCAGACAGGCCGAGGTGCACTGGCAATGAACGAACAGGTCTCCGTGGCTGCCTGTTTGTCTATCTGTCTGAGGCAGCTCGTTCGTTGAACCACACAGACGTACATCCATCTCGTGTCATGTGTGTCACGCGCGTCGGTCGATGGGGGGCAATGGAGGAAGACAGGGTAGAGGAGAGAGGGCCACATCCGTCATGCAGCTGCAACTGGAGAGATAGAGATAGAGGTGACTTGCTGCCTGTGCGGACAAACAGTGGCAGTGTCATTACATGGTGATGGCTGGGCGGCCACGGACCCGCTGGTCTGTTCAACACCGATAGATTATCCACACAAAGCCACACAAAGGCGCCCTGACAGCCCATCGTCACCACCAAAGTCAATTGAGATCTCCGCCCCCTCAGTGCATTTGAGTGATATTTGTCCTCTGAACGGTCTGTTTGTGCTCATCAAGTGTGCCCTCAAAGCCAAGGGGCGGGGAAATGGCCACAAATACTGTGCGAGCTGGATCGCCTCCCTTCGCGAAGAGAAAGAGAGTAGAAATGGCGCCGCCTTACGTCGCCTGGCATCCTGCACCGATGCCCTGTCATCAACATTATTACTATCCGCCTGGACGGCCGGCACTTCCGCTCCTCAACCCGCCGGCGTCCTATGGCTACCACGAGGGGCT